ATGTTTCTTAGCTACCCTGATGAGACTTGTACTGACCAAGAATTACTTCAGGTTTGATAATGACTTTTTCTTACAGTGATGTGGGACAGCTATGGGCACTCGAATAGCTCATAATTATGCAAATTTACATCTTGGGTTTGTTGAAAAATTTCAGGTTCTACACTGAACTAAATTATAAACGCAACACTTTTGTTTTTGCCCCCATTTTTCATGAGCTGAACTCAAAGATCTAAGACTTGTTCTACCTTTTTTTCATCCAATATTGTTGTACAAGCGTTACATTGAAGACATCTTTGTACTTTTTCAGGGAGATTTAGGATCTCTTAAGTTCTTTCACCAGTACCTGGATTCTTTAACAGATCACCTTAAGTTTACAATGTCATTTAGTGAGGAAACTTTGGATTTTTTGGATGTCCGTATTACTAAGTAAGGACAATCCCTGAGTACAGATCTCTTTAGGAAAAAAACAGACAGGAATATTTTTTTACATGCTCACAGCTGTCACCCACCATCTCTCAAGAAAGCTCTACCTGTGAGTCAGTTGCATAGAATTAAGCATATTTGTTCTACAGATCATTTATTTGAGACAAGAAAAAGTGAAATGTCGGAAAAATTTAAAGAAAAAGGCTACAGAGATAGTTGGTTTGACTCTGCAGAGGACAAATTAAAAACAATTCAAATGGAACAATTATTGACTCCTGCTAATACAACTCGAAATACTGAAAGAAATGTTTCTGTGCAGTTTATCACCACTTATACGCCTCAAGTTTCAGCATTTCGTAATATTATAAAGAAACATTTGTATGTTTTACAGTCAGACCCAGATCTTTCTAAAACTTTTAAACATCCCCCATTGATTTAATGTCGCAGAGCAAAGAATCTGAAGAACTTTTTGGTTAAGGCTGATGTATGCAAAAATCCCTCAAAGCCTCCACCATTTATAATTCCTCCGGGTAACTATAAATGTGGAAATTGCACTCAGTGCCAGTTCACTAAAAGGTTAAAATATTTTTCACATATTAGAACAGGTAAAAATATATGTATAAAAAGTGTCATCAACTGTAATTAATGTAACGTTATTTATGCTATACGTTGTCCATGTGGATTGCTGTATGTGGGTGAAACATCAAGATAATTGAGAACCCGCATTTGTGAACATCGTAGTGCCATTAGACATGGGGAAGATAGTAACCCTGTATCACAACATTTCAAAGAGCATTCACATTCTATTTGTGAGTTGTTTTACTTTGGCATTGAACAAATCCATTCAGCAGGTCAGGGAGGAGATATTGATGTGAAGCGCAAATCCAGAAAAACCTTTTGGAATTTTACTTTAAACACATTGTTTCCCAGAGGTTTGAATCAAAAAATTGATTATAGTTCATTTTGAGAAAAGTACTTTTTCTTTATATGGATATTTATGCTAAGCTTGTATCTTTTGATTATCTTTTTTTTTTTTTTTTTTAAAGTGTGATCTTGAACTTGTATTTTTCTTGTTTTTTCTCTCCCTAATCTTATTAGGAACTACCTCTCAATCAGTAGAATTAGTGGAGTTGCACACCTGATTATCAGACTGCACATAACTGTGTGAGATTGTTACCCTTGTTATCTGATGAAGGCCTTGGACGGCCAAAGCGTCATGTTGTTTTATTAATAAAGCTTGAATTTTGAAGAGTGAGTGTTGCACCTTATGTTCAGCTCATATGTTTTTTGATTTTTGGTTGCACCTCCTCTTCTGTTGGTAGAGCACCTCTTTTTACATTTGTTGCAATCAAACATAGCAAAATTTGGTAGTTCTGTATGTGGTTTCAGGGTTGGCATCATCTGAGGTCCTCTGAGGGGTTGGCATCATCTCTTCTCAGGTGTTCTGGATCCAGACTGAAGCTTGTGTAAATCCTAGTTACCACCGTCCTGCCTCTGAAGGAACTCAGGCAGTTCAGAACTGACTGGGCGCGTTCGTTGGTGAGATGCACCGTCATGTCGACCAAGTCCAACTCCATACCGAGAAAAGAGATTCTCGGCGAGGGGGCAGAGCTTGCTCTTTTCCCAGTTGACCCGAAGCCCCTACTGGCTGAGGTGCCGGAGCACCAAGTCCCTGTGATCGCACAACTGTTCTCACGACTGGGCCATGATGAGACAGTCATCGAGGTAGTTGATGCCCACTTCCCGTAAGGGGGCAAGGGTGCTCTCCACGACTTTGGTAAAGACACTGAGAGACAGGGACAGCGCGAAGAGGAGGAACGGTCTGTGTCGAGGAAGAATCAAGACGTGAAAGTACGTGTCCTTCAGGTCGACTGCTGCAAACCAATCCTGGGGTTGGATGCATCTTAGGATGCGCTTCTGTGTCAACATCTTGAACGGAGGCTTGTGAAGGGCCCGCTTCAAGACTCTCTGATCCAGGATTGGTTGGAGGCCATCGGTTTTCTTGGGCACGATGTAGTAAGGGCTGTAGAACCCCTGCTTCTTCTCGGCTGGAGGGACAGGCTCGATTGCATCCTTTGCCAGTAGCACAGCAATCTCTTCGCACAGGACAGGGGATCTCGGACTGCCACCAAAGTCTCGAGAATGCCGCTGAACCTGTGGAGTCGCCTGGTGAACTGAATCGCGTAGATGAGTCAAATCATCCGAATGAGTCAGCAGGACAGGTTGGGTAGCGCTAGCCATGCCCCCAAGCTCCGTGCAAGTGGCACCAAAGGGACAATCGACATACCCGCGTTGGTGCAGTAGTGGAGAAACTCGCTGGTCGGCCAAGAAGGCAAAGCATCCTGGGACGGACCTGGCAGACAGGATGTCACACTGACAGGATTCAGGAAGTCTGGCTAGAGACGTGTGAGGCGTCGCCGCGTTCTCGAACCATGGTCTCTTGGCCACTGGCAATAGGGGGCATCGTGGGTTAGAGTGAAGAACCCACGCTGTCAACCCACGAGCCATATAACATGGAGGAAGAGGAAACTGCTCTTTTACTGAAAATGTGGGTACAGAACAAAATGTGGAACAGAATGAAAAGGAAACAAGATTCTCCGCCCGGCCCTCCACCGGGGAAAGGAGTGGCGCTGTTCCCGCCATCTCCTGGAAAAGAGCAGCTCCCGTCATCTCTGGGTTTCCATACCCCCTAGCCGCCCCACCTCTGAGGGTAGTGAGGACGGAGGAAGTCAATGAGTGGCTTCTGGCCGTAAAAGGGGTCTTCCACGACTTTGTGACATCCTCATGCACCTCCGGGAAGAAAGGAACCGGGGCAGAACGCAGTTGTGAGCCGCACCCCACGCTGATAAACCAATCATCTAGCCGTGAGCGCTCAGGGCTGGGCAGTGTGTTCACCTCCAGCCTGAAGCTCACGGCTGCCCAAGCAAGCATAGCCGTCAGCTCTGGGTCTGATTTGGTGGAAGCCACAACACCCGAGGGGGGCAGCCCCGCCGAATCTGATCCTCTGGCGGAGCTCTGAATGAAATGCTGGGATCGTCATGAGATGGCCCAGCAGAATCACCTGGAAGCTGCACGGCACAAGCATTGCATGAGGAGTGGATTTGCTCTCACTGTAACTCTCAGATCTCCCAGAGCACTAGCCGACGATCCCCTGTTTGAAGCAGAGAAAGCGGGACGGGTAGTGACAGAGGGGTCTCGTCCTTTCCTCAGAAAGGAGAGACGCGATCGCAGCGTTGCCATGGTCATGTGCTCGCAGTGCGGGCATAAACCATACACGAACGCATCTTCAGTGTGCTGTATGCTCAGACAAGGAAGACAGCGATCGTGACCGTCATCAGAGAACAGAAAATGACTGCAACCAAGAGGACACGGACGGAATGGCGTCTTTAAAAAGACACAGACCGTCCGCGATTTGCTCTTTTAAGAAAACTGCTCTTTTGTTAATTGAAGCACCCAGGGGAATCACAGCTCAATAAAGGGGGACACCGCTGTTGTGCCGTCACACCAACCCAGAAAAGACATTCGAGGTGAATGGCTTTGTATTGCAGTAATAAACAATACTCGGCTCCGAAGCGAAAATCTGAATGAGTGGATGCACGCCACCTCCTTATATACCCGTATGTACGGGGGAGTGGTTGGGCATGCAAATTCCACTCGCCAATGTTCATTGGCCTGTTTTTTACTACGCAGAGGTAATTGGAGCTCCCAAGTAAGACCCCTAATGTCGTCATGACATAACTCCAGCAGATAGGGAAATTAAACTTCTTAGCACAGAAAACAATCTCAGACAGTGCATGAGTACCAAATAGAGTTCTCTTTTGTGTCTTCTTGTACTTAAATGGTTTAAAATCACTTGAATGTCTAAACTGGCAAGAAATGATAAACTTTAGTGACAATGCAGCACTGGCCTAATGGGACCAGAGACAATTCCATCAGCTCTCCCAAGCATCTTTCACAATGGCCTCTGGTCATCAGGCAGTCCTTACTGTCAAGCCCTAAAAAGCCCAATTACTGTACTTTTAAATTATGAAGTTTTTAGATGTAAAAGTCTTACTCAGGAAACATTATAAAAAAAAGGATTTCACGACCTCTTCAAATTTCTTTTTGTGTTCCAAAAAAGAAAGTCCATACAGCTTTAGAGCAATACCAAACATCAATTAATGCAGCATGAAGAGTAAAACAGACTCACAGTTGAAGAATTTAAATATATAGCTAAGTAACTGTTAGCCCTTTACTTTGAGATTAATTAAGAACTGTTCAGAATAAAAAATAACTGTCCATGCCTTTTCATCACTAATGATTTACTGCGTGTCTTTAGTAAATCCTGCCAGTAGTTTTTTAATGGCAAAGGAGGGTTTGTGCTGACCAATCTGGTCCTATATTTTGAGACTGACAGGAAATTCTCAGATAATTTAAATATTGAGATTAATTGTAATAAAATTTTATTCTAATCCCAGGCCTAAATTAAATACTTGTTGCAAGGTATTTGGCAGAAATATTTCAGCAATTTTCATTGATATTTTGTAGCTTCAGAATATTAAAAGAGCACAGGGGCTATATGAAGTAATGTAATGAGTTCAGTGATCTACCTCTTGTGAGATGGCATCCGGCATCGAACAGGAGGGCAGATTTTGTCTGGTTTCCTCCATGTTGTTATTACACTCCAACTGCATGTTCTCCTGCTGTCCGCAGTGCTCTACCATTGACTTAACCTCTGACTCTATCTTATGATTGTTCTGTTGCACCACAGTCAACTCCTCAATCGCACCACTCATCTCCTCCATCTGATTATTTAAAAAAAATGTATCACACTAAAATCATGTTGACAATATCCTCATTGCTTAAATAACCTCAGATAATTCTCTTGGCTTACTAGAGTGATTTCTCCATTGACGAGAATGGTGTTGAACTTGTTGAGGTCCTTCATCTGCCTGTTCAACATGTCAGAAATGTGCTTTCTCTGTTGTGAGATCACTTCATGAATTTGAGCAAACTCCACCTCCAGGTCCATCAGACTTGCCTAAAAAGAAATACAGATGTAAAACATTCTGTGTTGGCAAACACACATTATTCACTGCATCTATTACTTTGTTTTATGATAACATAACATGCATCACCATCTTATTTCTAAGCTGCTCAGTGAGCTGTTTGTTATTGATGAGGCTGTTTTCCTCCCCATTCTGATTTTTCTGGTCATAGCTGACCATCAGTTCCTCTAGTGCCTGCAGAAATTTCTGCACTTCAGTTTTGGTACTCTCACTCTCAGTCTGCAGGTGGCCCAGTTGTGTCAGCATTGTATCACTGTTACCCAACATGGACTCCAACAACTGCAACACAAATACACACATACAAATGCACACACACACACACATTATACCATATGATATGTGGGTGAGTAACAGTGATTAATATTAGCTAGCAAAAGTTAAAGTTAAACAAGACAATGCTATAGATATATAGATTACACATGAGCTCCCATTGTGCAGAGTTTCTTCATCATTGCCACCCATTGCCATCTTTCCTATTAAAAAAAAAATATGTTTTTCAGTAAATCTTTAAAAGCAACAAAATATCAATAATCAATCAATACAATAAAAGTGAATGAAACCAAGTAAGCCAATTTGGACACTGAGTGTGGGTGCATTGTGGGTATTCTCTAGCCGTTGAGTGTACATCAGTTGTACACTCATTGTATTGAGGTGCATTATGGGATTGAATGAGTGCACTCGATAATGTCCACTATGGTTTCGAACGCCACTACAAATGGCTGTCACCTCAAATAATGCCCTGTTTAAGGGTATAGGGGGCAATTTCAGACACAGCCTAAATTGGGTGTGTCCAAAAAGGGAAACATCCAAAATGTGCAGTAGTGGGAATCATCCAGGACAAGTTTGGGAAGCACTCTAGCACAGTGGTTCCAAACCACGTTCCTGGAGTACCCCCAACACTGCACAATTTGCATGTCCCCTTAATCAAACTGTAATGTGGGGTTTGGTGTTTGGGTTTCATGTTCATGTTTTCCATGTCTTTTATTTTGTATTGTTTCACCCTGTTAGTGTCATGCTTCCCTTGCCCTCATGTATCTCTGCCTTGTGTATGTGTCATGTTCCCATAGTCTTCGTCGTGTATTGATGTTGTAACCCGCTGTCGGTGAGTCTAGTCTGTTATGCCTCGTCAAGTCTGTTATGCCTCGTCAAGTCTGTTCATGCCTAGTCAAGTCAAGTCAAGTCAAGTCAAGTCTGTGTATCTAGTCTTCGTCTGTTTGGATTATGTTTGGATGTTTGGATCACCTGTAAATAAACTGCACTTGGGTTCTCACTTACGCTCGCCTTCAGTGGATGATTTGTTACAGAATACACGACTGCTAAAAAGTTAACCCAGCAGTTGTTCGCATTCTGAGCCTTCGTCAGGGAAGTCGGACCATAGAGGACTATGTGGAGGACTTTTGTGGTTTGTGCTATTTAGTGGACTTTAATGATGTGGCATTTTTCGTCATGGATTAAACGAGCCCATTTGCTCCCAGCTTCCTGGGGGAAAGGTTCACTGGTCCCTTGCCGAGTATATAGACTTTGCTCTGCGGTTGAGTGGATCTGCTTTCACTGTAGATGTCGTGGAGAAGGAACACGGCACTAAACCAGAGCCAGAGTCTGCTCACGTCCGCTCTGCCTGCACCGCCATGGCTCCCTGATCTGCCTGCACCGCCATGGCTACCAGCTCTGTCTGCTCCGCCATGGCTGCCCGATCTGCCTGCTCGGCCATGGCTCCCTGTTCTGCCTGCTCTGCCATGGCTCCCTGTTCTGCCTGCTCGGCCATGGCTCCCCGCTCTGCCTGCTCCGCCATGGCTCCCCACTCTGCCAGTTCCTCTTCACGGGTCTGGCCCTCCATCTCTCCCCCAGTTCCGCCTCCACTCCACCACCCTCCTGGACTTTTTGGGTTTTGTTTGGGCGTCTGGAGCCGCTCTTAGAGGGGGGGATATTCCCATAGTCTTCGTCGTGTATTGATGTTGTAACCCGCTGTCAGTGAGTCTAATCTGTTATGCCTCGTCAAGTCTGTTATGCCTCGTCAAGTCTGTTCATGCCTAGTCAAGTCAAGTCAAGTCAAGTCAAGTCTGTGTATCTAGTCTTCGTTTATTGTTTGGATGTTTGAATAAAACTGCACTTGGGTTCTCACTACGCTCGCCTTCAGTGGACTGACTCGT